GGATTCTGTAGTCATCGAGTAAATTTTCCAGATGGAGAAAGGTGACATTTTGATTTATTGCCTTTAAGCTGTCATGCTATATCCTTACTAAAAAATCATTAATTTATTTTTGTAATTTAACTCAGAATTCCTCATTACAGATCGAAATACAAAAGATTGTATTGTATCTTTCTTTTTTTGTGGGTTGTTTTTTTGTTGTTGTTTTGTTTTTTTGACTGTGCTGAGGATCATACCCAGGGCCTCACATACGAATGCAACTATTCTACCACTGAGACGCATCCCCAACCATTTTGACCTCCCTTTCTGAAAACTGTATTAAATAATTTTTTTTCATTCAATAGTTCTTGGTTTGAGACAACTAGATTTTTATTTAGAAACTATAATTGGATCATGACTGAAGTTTTATACCAAAGTAAATTTCAGGGGCTTAAAAGTAAAACTAATACCCAAACATACTAGAACAAAAAGAATGGGGGTAGGCTAATAGTCACCACTATTGTGTGGTAGGCCTTTATAAGTTATAAGCAAAACTTAGAAACCATAAAAGAAAGTATCAGCAGGGCACAGTGGCCCATGACAATTGTCCTAGCAACTCAGGAGGCTTAGGCAGCAGGATCAGAAGTTTGAGGCCAGTCTTCTCAACTGCAAGATATTCAGCACCTTAGTGAGACCATGTATCAAAATTAAAATAAAAAGAGCTAGGATGTGGCTCAGAGGTAGAGTGCCTTTGGCTGTGATCTCCACAACAGAAAGGAGGGGGAGGGGGAGGAAGGGAACATATTAATACACCACAGACAAAAGCATACTTTTGTTAATATGGGAAGGGCTTCTATGAATTGGCAATTGAAAGGAGAACACTATAATAGAAAAACTAAAATTCACAAAATAACATTTTCACAGATCAGACTGGCAAAAATTAAAACATGTAATAGTTCAGTTCTTGGTGCAACCTCTCTGCCAATAATTTTCAAACTGTGCTCCAAAATATTGGCCTGAATGGGAGGCCCTACAACTATTTCAGGGAGTCCACAAGGTCAAAATTATTTTCATAACATCTAAATTATTTTTTGCCTTTTTCACTGTGTTGACATTTATATTGTCAATGGCGGGTAAAGCTGCTTTCATTTTAGCACAAATCAAAGAGGTAACACCAGCTATCCAAGTATTCCTTGTATTCTTCTCTCACCTACACTTACACTATTAAAACATAGCAGAAGGAAGAAAATGAGACACATAGTTTTACTAAAGAATGTTTTTGTTGAAATAGCAAACAATAATTTTTATAAATATCAATATTCCATGTATATCTTTTTAATATTCTATGTTGGGTTTTTTGTTTTATTTTTGGTTCTGGAGATTAAACTCAGAGGTGCTATACCACTGAGCTACATCCACAGCCCTTTTTTTTTTTTAAATATGTATTTTTCACTTGTGGGTGAACCTTTATATGTGGTGCCGAGAATAGAACCTAGTGCCTCCATATATGCTAGGCAAACACCTTACCACTGAGCCCAAGCTCCAGCCCCCAGCCCTTTTTCCTTTTTATTTTGAGACAGTGTCTCGCTGAGTTGCTGAGTGTCTCACTAAGTAGCTAAGGCTGGCTTTGAATTTGCAGTCCTCCTTCATGAAAGCTCCCTAGTTACTGGGATTCCAGGCATATGTCTCCACACCCAGCAAAACTGTTCTAAACATCAAATATGATGGTTGTCAAGGCAAAAAAAAGCACTGATTTGAAATCTCACTGAAATCCTCCATGACCTTCTATCTCTAGAATTCTGCATTCCTACAGAACCAATATCAAGTGGATGATTTCAAGGTCTCCTGCTAGCTCAAGCAATAGCCATGCCCCCTTGGACCATGACTGCAGTTGACTTCTCAGTACTTAAGCAGCTGAGCAAGGTGAAATGAACCTTGAGAGAACAACTTCCTAGCCATCCCTATGTGAGCAGGGTGCTCCCGTTGTTGTCTCTGAAATGAGTTTTTGCTTTCTTGCCCTTGAGCCTGCCATGGGTGTGGTCTTGCTTATTTCTGAGATGCCCTGTTTGAATATTATGCTGCCTTGAAATTTTCTGAACCAGATTAATTTGTCCATCACTTTTAATTTCAACCTCGCAGAAGTCTCAAGCATGGGCAAAATATAGACAAGTTTCTTGGCAGGACATAATATGAATGGCTTCTAGTCTAATTCCCAGTTGAGTACTCATTGTCATCTTTACTGTCTACATTAGCATTCTGGTCTTCTGAGTTTCTACCACAATCGTCCAGTGTGCTGTTGTCTGTAAACAGTATTCTAAGTTTTCTTCTGCAAACCAGAACTTTTTTTTTTTGAGAATCTTTCTATTGCTTATCACCTTAATAAATTGCTTAATAAATAATAGCCTTAAACTTGGTCCTTCTGCCTCAGCCTCCTAAATTACTGGGATTACAGGGGTTCACCACCATGCCCATCTCCAAAACCTTTTGCATCACATGGTTAGGTTAGTCATAACAAAGACTCCCACTCTTAGTACTAATTCCTGTGTTAGTCAGCTTTTCATTAATGTGACCATGATATCTGACAAGAACAACTTAAAGGAAGAAAAGTTTATTTGGGGCTCACAGTTTCAGAGGTTTTAGTACATGGTTGGCCAACCCCTTTACTCTGGGCCTAAGGTGACACAGAACATCATGTAGAAGGACATGGTAGAAGAAATCTGTCCTGTTGGTGTCAGTAAAAGGTCGGCGGGGGGAGCTAGAGACAAAGTATAATCCCCAGTGGCACGCCCCCAGTGACCTACTCCTCAAACCATGCCCACATGCCTATAGTTACCACCCAGAAATCCATTCATATAGGTACAGCTCTCATAGCCTGTTTTATCTCTGAACAGTCCTGCATTGCCTAACTCATGAGCTTTTAATGGGACACTTCGTATCCAAACCGTAACATTTTTTCACACTGTATTTCATTAATTTTGGCTCCCATCTCAATTATCTCCTTCCATTTACTGGTTTCAGAATTGGTTTGCACTTTTTTTTCTAGGACTTTGATATCCATCAAGTTGTTTACTAGGAATCTTCTGATTTTTTTATATATGCCCAAAGAAATGTAAAGTTTGCTCTTATAAACACCTTCATATTGTCCCGGAGATTCAGTATGTTGTGTATCTATCTCCTTTGCATCTAGGAATTTTTAAATTGTTCCTCTGACTTCATTTATGATCCATTCATTATTTAAAACTGTATTATTCAATCTCCATGTGTTTATATACTTTCTATTTCTTTTCTTATTGTTGATTTCTAATTTTATTCCATTATGATCTAATAAAAGTCAAGGAATTATACTGATTTTTTAAAGTATTTGCTAAGACTTGCTTTGTGATCTAAAATATAGATGAGTGGGTTTTAATTAACAGTAGGAAATTTTCATTGGCATTACTGTAGATTCTTCTTTGCAAGTAACCTTTTAAGAAATTATCACTTGTTGCATTTTGATAGTACCATGAATAATATCCAGAGTTTTCTGAAAAGGCTATTAAGGCTACAGATTTTCACATTTATCAACCATACTAAGTGGCAACATACTGTAATAAGTGGCATGTGAAAGCAGTGTAAAAATTCAATATTATTTTTTGTTAAGACAGATATTGAAGCCAGGCGATTCCAGTCTTCTCACAAAAGCTATTTGTTTTGGAAAATAGTTATTTTTCATGAAAATATTATTTTACATGCAATATTTTTACATTTGTTATTTTTTACTTAATTTTTAAAGCTACAGATAACCATAGATGTAACCCACTTAAAGTGCTTTGATTTCCTCAGTTCTTAGGGTATCAATAAGTTTGAGACTCATTCTTCTGTGGAGATTAAATAAAAATTTGAATTTTATAAATGATCGAACCAATAATTATCATTTTAGAAATGTATACTACTTTTGCTAATTTATACTCACTTTTAAGGTTACTAATTTATACTTATTTCTGTAAGACTGTATAAAAGATTATATAAATTTATTCATTTTTAGATTATTTAGACGACCAAAAGATTACAAATAGCCCAGTGTTTGCACATAATAGAAAATTGATTATATTGAAATATATTTATACAATATAATACTGTACTGTAAATCAGGCAGATATAAATTTACCAATATGAAACCATCTCAAAGATATATTAAATCAAAAATTTATGGTACAAAAAATAAAGTACACTATACTATTTGTGCAAAATTATATGTGGCATATATATATACACTGACTGTCTTTGGAAAGATATGGTACTTAGGAATGAGCATAAAAAGAACTGAATCCAGGTTTCTCCATACTCTCACCTCTATACATGTTTGTAGAATAATGTACAGCTCTATAAAAACACTGGGATTGTCGCTCAGCAGTAGAGCGCTCGCCTAGTGTGAGCAGGACCCGGGTTCAATCCTCAGCACCACATAAAAATAAAAGCATTGTGTTGTGTTCATCTATACCTAAGAAAAACAATAATAATTTTAAAAAACACTTATAAAGAAATTTAATGGTGCTTTTTTAGAAGCCAGAGTGCTGAAAACATTTTAGCTCTTTAATTGAAGTCCATCTTAAAATAAAGGTACTTAAAAGTATGTATAAAAGATTAGCCTCACATTTACAATAGGATGTATAATAATACGTTACTATTGGTGTGCTGCTTATTTTTCTTTTGTGGCAGTAGTGATAATTATGTAAATAAATCAAAAGCAACTTTTTAAAAATTAATGATTTTAACATTAAAACCTGAAAAGACCTTTTTTCCAACCCTGGATAAACATTTAACCACAGAAAAGTTTGGGATTTAGAACAAGACAAAGTTCAAATATTAAGTACTAAGGGCCAAGTGATTTGATTTTAATTGAGACACATTTATTATAAAACCATATGTCAACCAATTCTTTCGATTTTATCCAGATTGATGGAGATTTAGAACAAATAGGAACTTTAATCTGCCATACACACACATTTTATTTTGTGGCTGTTAATGGAAGTTTCTTTTGACAGATGGAGATGGACAAATGGATCATTTACTTCCAGGCTGTGAAGATCAAAACTGCCAGAGAAGCACAATCTACTTACTGAGATCTGGAACAAAACAGGTATATCAGTTTTGTTTTGTTTTGTTTTGTTTAACACAACAGAGTTATGTGTTTTAAAACAAAAATCTTGGGGCTGCGGTTGTGGCTCAGCGGGAGAGAGATTGCCTAGCATATACAAGGCCCTGGGTTCGATCCTCAGCACCACATAAAAATAAATAAAATAAAGGTATTGTGTCCAAATACAACTAAAAAATAAATATTAAAAAAAATCTTCAAAGGTTAGAAAAGACATCTGAAGAATCAGAGCAAAGAGAAATACAGAATTAAGTTATTGTGTTCCTCATGTTAAATTTAAATTCATTTTATTCATTTATTGAAGCAGAAAGCACTACTACAATCATTTCTGATTAAAAAAACCCATTTTGAATCCTATAATTAAATGAACTATTAGCATTTTTATATGCCAGAAGAAATGGTAAAACACTATAATAAAGATACGTTGTAGAAGAATAATAGAATATCATATCTATTTTCAAAGTTAACCTTGTTTATGTCTGTGGTATCTAGATCTGTTTCATTTTGTCATGCTGACTTTTTACCTATAGCTTGTGGGTAAACAGTTTGAAATCTGAGAATCATTGGAGAATTAATATGGGAATGATAGGTTATGACAACAGAATTAACGAGCTTTATTTTCTTTTGTAGGGTAATAAACAGTAAAATACCACATTGACTTTTATATCCCTATGAACATCACATTTTATATTAAAACATTAAAACAAATCATTCACTCAGCATTCTCAAACTATTTAACTGTTACACCTGTATATTTTATTACCTTAAAACTTTTTTAGTTTTGAATCAGTTAACATGTTAAGTAAAGTAACACTTCATCACTGTTTCATAGGTATAAACAAACCTAGTAATTATAGCATATATTCAAATCACAGATTACTATGAGAATATTTTCAAATTATAAAGTCATTTCTCCTTAGGAAGGAATACAGTACATAGGAAGGAGTATAAGGGTCACAGTTCTTTGTTGGACTATTATGTCTACTACATTCAGTAAAAAATCTTTTTTGGAGCATAATACAATTGTTTTAATGGAAATACTTCTTATGATAAGTAAAATAATACTTTTTTGCCTGAAGAAAAATGTAAAAACTAATTAAAGCTGCAGACCAGTATTTTTTTTAAATCTCACTTTCTGAAAATATGTCTTTATCATTAATTTTTTTCTTCTTTTTCCTTGGCAAGTTATACTTTCTTTAGAAAACCTATGACATAACTTGCTAAATCCTTTTCAATAAGCCATTTTTAATACACTTTAGCTTGCAACCATAAAAATGAATCACCTGTTTATAAGGCCAAAAAGTTCTGTAGGCATGTTTATCCTGCCGTATCCAGTCAGCTGTTCCAACTTTGGTTCACATTATCTCCAAGTTATATGGCAATATCCATACTCTCAGCACATTGTGGGCACACCTCTAATTTTAATTGCATGATTTCCACTTTTAGCTTTATATTAGTTTATCAAAAAGTGAATATTTGTGTACTCAGAAGAGAAAGGAATTCTAAACTCTTTTAGAAATCAACCTTTCTTTCTCTTCTATTACCAATATAAAAATAAAGACAAGCAGTAAAAATTTAACTTATAGCTATTTTTGTGTCAGTTCATTTTCTTTTTATGAGAAGTGCCTATCAGTTACAGATAGAGCTTGTCAGACCTGATGGTGTTTGGAAAGCCTTGTGAGCTGCTAGTCCTCTTTGTGTAATAAAGCGTAGCAGATCAAGGGAGACTCATCATGTTCTAAACTTCCTTCCTAAGTTGGGCCTCCTGAAAGTTCACTAGCATTAGATAATGTTATAGTCTGCTTTACTTCTTTAAAATACTCATTGTATTTTAAAGAAGTAAAGTTTTATTTCTACTTTACACTAATTTTAAATTGAGCAATATGACTATATGCATATTGATATCCATTTAATCCCAAGGTTCTATGATTTTGTGAAAAAAGCAAAGGTGACTACTGATAAATTCTAAAGGAGACAACTTATTCATCAAAATAAATCATAATATCCTACCATACTATGGAGATGAAGAAGATAAATAAAATATGCTTATCTTCAGAACTTTTATGGATCATTTCTTTGGCAAATTGTAATTTTTTTCCCAAGGTAATTATGAAGTCTAATCTTTTCCTCTAAATCTACAGTGGGTTCCAGTCCTACAGGATTTCAACTATAAGGGTACACTCTGGGGCTTTGTACCATTTGTGCATGAAGAAAGACCAACTGAAATACCAATTCCAATTACCCTTCATATTGGAGACTACAACATGGATGGCTATCCGGATGCTCTTGCCATACTAAAGAACACATCTGGAAGGTAGGGAAATTAAATCAACTGAGAAATATTTATAGGGTATCTTCACTATGGCAATTTATAACTGAACAGCACCTAAATATCATAGTCTTGTAGGTATAGATCATGATGCTCAGTTCTTATTTTCTTATTTGGTCCCCAAACTTCCCGGCTACTTAAAGTACCTATTCTTTTTCACAGATTCTTTTTTTTTTTTTTTTTTTAGAACAAAATAGATTAACTAATCTAAAGGAAAAACCTGGTTTTCATTCAATAAAACTTGATTTTTTAAAAGATACCAAAATATTTACAAATTGCCATATATATACATATTTTTTTCTTTTTGAGAGAGAGAGAATTTTTTAATATTTATTTTTTAGTTTTCAGTGGACGCAATATCTTTATTTTATTTTGATGTGGTGCTGAGGTTCGAACCCAGCGCCTCACTTATGCCAGGAGAGTGCACTACCACTTGAGCCACATCCCCAGCCCACCCAATAATATTTTGAAACTGAATACCATGGTAGGTAAAAGCAGATTAACTACCATGGTTTCAGTATAAGTCCAACTACTTACTATCTGTGTGATCTTGGACAGATTACTTAAACTCCTCAACTGTAAAATTCTACCTCTGGCACAACTGAGGTAAAAGAAAAGTAAACAAATCATTTAGTAGGATGCTCTGCACATACTAATATTATTTTGCAATAGGTGTTACCTATTGTTTCTTTTCTTTTTTTTTCTTTTTAGTTGTCAGTGGACCTTTTAATTATTTAAATGTGGTACTTCAAATCTAGGCAAGCACTCTACCATGAGCTATAACCCCAGCCCACCTTATTGTTTCTTATTTGGCAATGGCATTGAAAATTCCAGTATGATTATTGATATTATTTGTATATATAGAAGTTAGTGGATTTTTATCACCAATGATTTTGAATGCTACAGTCACTTTTTTTCTTTTAAGTAAACATATCATGTGGTTGAATCCATAATTAGCCTGAATCTTGATAGAAACCATAAATGCCTATTGTAAATTTTAATATACTTTATTCTTTTATTTATCTTATAATAAGTTGTGTTCCCTGGCTCTTTTTGTTTCGTGCCTCCCGTCATTTATCTCTTTATAGTTTGTTCTGAGCATTAATTAATTTGATGACTCCAGAATTAGTAATAACTCAGCTCCACATTCACTACCAAGCTCCTGTTGTAATACAGTGCCCCAGGAAAAAAATCACACTTATTATTGCTTTCAACACCAGATAACATTGTCTAGAAATCCAGTTTTTAAAGAGACATATGTTATAAATACATATCCCTAAAATTTATATAGATTATGAGAAATAGAAAAGATATGATATATATTAGAAGCCTTTCTTACATGAATTTGCTTTAATCAAAAAATAGTTTATAATTTTTGACTGATTTCAAGACTGCTGTATTGCTGATAATTAGTGCTGGGTTGATGTTTCTAATTTGAGGTGTTGCAACCTAGAGAAGTCTGTCTCCTTTTACAGATTTCGAAAATCAGTTAGAGAGCAACTATGTAGATGAAAACAAAACCTATCACATCTGTAAAAAGAGTATAAAGGAAATTAGGAAACCATGTTTAACTTGGTTTTTTGATTTTTATTACTTTAAGAAGATGGTTGTTTGGATTTCTATTTGTTTTCACTTTAATCTAAAGGCCTAATATGTCTTAAGATAACCTTTAAAATAATGTTACATTTAAAAGATCTTTATTATTGACGGTTTATGGAAGAAACAAGCATGATCAGAGATCCCCTGTTTTTCCTCTATTTCACCACAAACCAAAAGCTCTGGTTTCTTTCACCCTAGCTGTCCCATTGCTGCTCGGTTGCCTTTGCTTACCATCGTTTTCTATGCATAGTCATGTTGTTATTCTCTGAGCATATATTTTAAGAATATGACTTCTGATTTACTTTACTATTCCATTACACCTTCATCAGATACAACCAGGATGTTAATATATTTAAGAAGTGTTATTGATATTAATAAATTGTCATTTAGTGGATAAAATTATACAGCAAACTTTATCTTCTAGTAGGTTTTATTAGATAGCCAAACCTAGAAGCATCTTTTAAAAAAAGAAAAAAAATTCTTACTAGCAAAGAAGCAGTCTGATTATATCCAAAACCTCTTAAATATCAAGTAAATAAATGGCCAAATACAGCATATTACCTATTATTTAATGCTGGGAAGAAGACAACTATAATTTTAATGTGACTTTAATATGTATAAGTTTTATAGGGTAGTATTATCTTTATATTAAAATATGAAAATAAACAAATCAGAAAACTGCTAATAGTACCTGGTAGTAATCTTGTAGTCAGGACTCTAAAGTTTCAAAGTCCAAATCCTTTACCTTTCTTTGTAATAAAAATTTTGTAAGGAAGGGAATGCTGGATAAGCAAAAAGAACACATTTTTTTGCAGAGATTACAAATGACAGTATGGACGGTTAGTTACTCTGACAAAAGGAAAGGAGCAACTGAAAGACAAAATACAGAAGTTCTGTGAGCCTTGTAAAGGACAAAGCAAACATCTCTCCCTATATGATATAGCAGAAATTCCTCATTGAAACTGCTTTTTAGCCCAGTAGATTATTTGCAAGCATGTAGACTTTCATGTTATTTATTCAGAAACCAGAGGTTATATTTGAATATATTAGTGAGACACATTCAGGCCATTATATAAGAAGATGGAAAATGATCAGAATTAAACTGAGATTTTTTATTGATTTTTTTTTAAAAAAATAAATGACAGTGGAATGCATTACAATTCTTATTACACTTATATAGCACAATATTTCATATCTCTGGTTCTTTATAAAATAGGTTGACACCAATTCTTGTCTTCATACATGTACTTTGGATAATGATGTCTATCACATTTCACCATCCTTGCTGATCCCCTGCCTCCTCCCTTTCCTTCCCACCTCTTTGCCCTATCTAGAATTCATCTATTCCTCCCATGCTCCCCCTCCCTACCCCAATATGAGTCAGCCTCCTTATATCAGAGAAAACATTTAGCATTTGATTTTTTGGGATTGGCTGACTTCACTTAGCATTATGTTCTCCAGTGCCATCCATTTACCTGCAAATGCCATGATTTTATTCTCTTTTATTGCTGAGTAAAATTCCATTGTGTATATATGCCACATTTTTTTTATCCATTCATCCATGGAAGGGCATCTTTGTTGGCTCCACAGTTTAACAATTGTATATTGTCGCTGCTGTAAACATTGATGTGGCTGTGTCCCTGCAGTATGCTGTTTTTAAGTTTTTTTGGGTATAGATTGAAGAGAGGGATATAGCTGGGTCAAATGGTGGTTCCATTTCCAGCTTTCCAAGGAATCTCCATACTGCTTTCCATATTGGCTGCACCAATTTCCATATTGGCTGCACCACCAGAAATGTATGAGTGTACTTTTCCCCCATATCCTCTCCAACACTTATTGTTGTTTGTCTTCATAATAGCTGCCATTCTGACTGGAATGAGATGAAATCTTAGAGTAGTTTTGATTTTCGTTTCTCTAATTGCTAGAGATGATGAACAGTTTTTCATATATTTGTTGATTGATTGTATATCCTCTTCTGAGAAATGTCTGTTCATTTCCTTGGCGCATTTGTTGAGTGGGTTATTTGTTTATTTTTTTTGGTGCTTAGTTTTTCAGTTATTTTCTATACCCTAGAGTTATTTTCTATACCCTGATGTGTGAGGAGTAAAAGTTTGCTCCCAGGATGGAGACTCTGTTCACTTCACAGATTTTTCTTTTGCTGAAAAGAAATATTTTAGTTTGATTCCATCCCATTTATTGATTCTTGGTTTTAATTCTTGTGACAAGGGAGTCTTATTAAGGGAGTTGGGACCTAATCCCACATGATGAAGATTAGGACCTACTTTTTCTTCTATTAGATGCAGAGTCTCTGGTTTAATTCCAAGGTCCTTGATTCACTTTGAATTGAGTTTTGTGCATGGTGAGAGATAGGGGTTTAATTTCATTTTGTTACATATGGATTTCCAGTTTTCCCAGCACCATTTGTGGAAGAGGCTATCTTTTCTCCAATGCATGTTTTTGGCCCCTTTGTCTAATATAAGATAATTGTAATTTTGTGGGTTAGTCTCCTCTATTCTGTACCATTGGTCTACCAGTCTGTTTTGGTTCCAGTATCATACTGTTTTTGTTAGTATTGCTCTCTAGTATAGTTTAAGGACTGGTATAGTGATGCAACCTGCTTCACTCTTCCTGCTAAGGATTGCTTTAACTATTCTGGGTCTCTTATTTTTCCAGATTAATTTCATGATTGCTTTTTCTGTTTCTATGAGGAATGCCATTGGGATTTTTATAAGAATTGCATTAAATCTGAATAGTGCTTTTGGTAGTACAGTCATTTTGATAGTATTAATTCTGCCTATTCAAGGGCAATGTAGATCTTTCCATCTTCTAAGGTCTTCTTTAATTTCTTTCTTTAGGGTTCTGTAGTTTTCATTGTATAAATCTTTCACCTCTTTCCTTGATTCCCAAGTATCTTTTTTTTTCCCCTGAGGTCATTGTAAATGGAATAGTTTTTTTTTCCTTCTCAGAGGATTTGTCACTGATATACAGAAATTCCTTTTCATTTCCTTGCATGCACAAGGCCCTAGGTTCAATCCCCAGCACCACAAAAAAAAAAAAATTCTTTTCATTTATGGGTGTTGACTTTATATCCTGCTACTTTGCTGAATTCATTTACTAGTTCTAGAAGTTTTCTGGTGGAGCTTTTTGGGTCTTCTAGTGCTAATATAAGTTCTTCTTTTCCTATACACAACCCTTTAATTTCTTTCATCTGTCTAATTGCTCTGGCCAGTGTTTCAAGAACTATGTTGAATAGAAATGGTGAAAGAGGGCATCCCTGTCTTATTCCAGATTTTAGAGGGAATGCCTTTAATTTTTCTTCATTTATGTTGATGTTGGCCTGAGACTTCGCATAGATAGCCTTTACAATGTTGAGATATGTTCCCATT